ATTCTAAATCTTAATTGAGCGCACGTAAAACCAATGCCTTCCAACAGAAACCACCAGTAGCCTAAAATATAGGATTTTAGCCGCTACAAGAATATAATAACAAAGATTTATAGCAACTCTATAAAAAAAAACTTATTATATGCATTCATGACACGCAGCCTGATATATTTATATAAAGTATTATTTTGTGTGTTATATTTTGATTATTGTAGCTGAAAACTCCAAATTCACAATTTCAGAAAATTAGAAGACACCTGATATAACTAACATTCACCACCTTTGAAGCTAGCAGCTTTCCTCTAAACCTGATGGCGGCAGCAATGATATCACTTAAAAAATGTCCCACTTTGACATTTTAAAGTTGGTGTATTAACCAAAAAGTGACAACAGAAATATAGCAATCGTTGCACGCAGCATCACTGCGCCAGTTAACAACTGGCCATCAACTGGAGGCAAACAGGCGTGGAACTCCAAGGATAGTTGAGAAGAAAAAGGAGAGTCCAAGATTATTAGGTGTAAAAAGGTGCAAGAAGATGTTTGAGGGATAAAACTGGAGTTGCATTGGGTAAACAGTATAACAGCTGGATCCACTAAACTAAAAGATCAGGAAGCTTTCAGATGTTACTGCAAAGTTTACAGACATGAACATGTCCTTCCTGGTAGTTCTGCTGCACTCCCAGCAGATGGCGCCCCATCTGTTTATGTCCTCTCATCTCACTAAATACTGGGGTTTTATTTAGCCTCAAAAAGGACAATAAAAACACAATCAGAACGAATGCTCGGATTATATCGACTTGATTGCAGACATATAACATTACTTTATACCTTTAATAGATGGTCCAGTTTTCTGAGTTATCGAAGTTTTAATTAGCTGTCAGTTATAAAAGTAATGCAACTTAAAACAGTTCAGATACATCAGTCTGTGTGCGATGAATAGATATTATATACAAGTTTCCCTTTTTGAAAAAGAGTTCCTTTGGACAAAAAAGAAAAAGTTGGAGGAAATGGTTCTGGGCCCCCAAACGGCCCTGGGCCCAGGGTGACTGACCTGATTATCCCTCCAAATGAATATTATTCTGCAGCAGGAGGCTGTTGGGTCAAAATCTATTCTTTTGGAATAATAAAGAAAATTGTTTGTCAATGCAGCTCTGCCTCATTCCAAATAAATACAGTGGGAAACAGTTGCATTGTTGCAAAAATCAGACAGATCAGCCAACAAAGCGCCTCATAGAGAAAGACGGGTGTTTTTCTTTCTTTAAATTGTAATTTTATATTAAATTGACCATTTTTTTTAGGTTTAGGCAAATAAAAAATAAAATCAGGAAGTAGAAAAAAAAAGAGGAAACAAAAATGCATTATTTTCCTTAAAAAAGGAGGGAAAAAATTCTGTTGCAGCAAACAAACTTGAAAGTGAAGTAATTTCCATATGTTTTATGGAAAGTATGGTTTAAGTGGAGTTTGTATAAACATGGATTATCACCACTTCAGCAGCTTTTCCTGGTGTTTCTATTATTGCATTTATCTTTCAGCAGAATCTCTCCAATCATCTCCTGCTTAGTTTATCTTAAAGCTAAACCGGAGATGAAAAAGACTTTGATAGATCCAAGATTGTGAGACCTTGTTAAATGAACACTTTCTGCTGAGTGATGTCAAGGAGGATAAATAGCTCAACATCCTCCAATGATCTCTCCATGGTTTAACAACCAGCTAAGCTAGCAATTATAATAATTAAAACTGAAGATTAAGGCTGCGATTAAAAATTGTTTTGCAAATCGATAAGTCAATTTTTTTCGATTAATCAATCAATAATCGGAGGGGAACCAGGTGAAACTAAAACTTTTCCCCTAGAAGAGTTCTGGGTAGAGCATATTAACAGATGAAAAGGTTTTTTTTTTATATACATAATGTTTACAAAATTTTTTTCTTACATTTTTGGTGTAATAACTGCTCTAAGAGGGTCTCTGTCCATTAAAGGCATGTTTTAGAGTCTCTTCACTCCCGTTATCGAATAATTAATTAGTTGACGATTATTTCGACAATCAATTAATCACGATTAATCTGATTGTTTCAGACATACTGAAGTTTGCTACAGTTCTGCCTCTGCAAACCTCATAATGGATTTTATTCCTTTCACATTGTGCTTTCCAGATCACATTCTCTTCAATTCTGGGTGCAGGCTTTTGGTTGGAATGAGAAGCATTTCTATTGGTCTGCGTTGACATTATAAACAATAGCTGGTTTTCATTTGGGCTTAAAGTCAAAGAGAAGCGGCTGTTCCAACAGTTTTCAAATTTTCGCTGAGTGGTGCCCACTTTACACGAGTGAATAAAGTGAATGTGATTGGTCGATTATCAACGGGGCGGGATTGTTGTGGTGAAAGATTCGCAAGGATGTTTGGTTGTGGCCAGTTTCTTGAAGCATCGTTGCTAACCAGTTAGCAACTTAGTGCTAGTAGGTTCCCAATGGGAAATTCCATTGGGACCAAGTAGCACTAAATTGGTGACTTAGAAA